TGATCTTCATTAACGCCATTTTGTTTTTGTTTAAATTATTTTCATTGAGTTCGATGCAAAAAAATTAAATTTTTTTTTTTACAATGTAACAACACGGAAAAATTTTTAAGTTAACCACAACAACTCTCAATTGTTTAATAATAATAATAATAATAATAATAATAGTTTGATAAAACCATAGCAGGTTTTTGTTATTGTTTTCTTTTTTACATTTCCCACATTCGTTATGGTTACGTTCCATAAGGGACGTAATAGAATAAATATAAAATTATATATATTATTCCTGTCGAATTGACTGGTTTTGACCAAAACAAAAATTTTATATTCCCAAAAAAACGAATAAAGATTTTACAAAACGACATGAAAATACCGAAAAAAAAAAAATTTACATGCGAAATGAGAGAGAGGGAGAGAGAGAGATGAGGGAGAGGGAAAATGTAAAATTATCCTAGTTAACTCTCGATTCATTTTCATCGTAAATATTTTATTGAATTCAATCCCAAGTTCCTCAGGTTCCTTGTCAATATATAAACCATCCAAATACGATTCGAAATTTTCTAAATTTAAAAACAATGAACACGGATTCATGTAATAAAAGTCCTTTGGGTTCGTCAAACAAACAAAAAAAATAATGATAATTATTTCAATTAAATTGCCACAACTATTATTATTATTATTACGTAAGAGTATTTTTCAATCAACCGATAAAAATACAAATAATCAAACGCATACGCACCCACGCACCTATCGAAAGCACAAAACTTTTTTTTTTAGTTAAAATAATAATTAAATAAAAAAAAAGAGAGAGAGAAACTGAGAGAGAGAGAGAGAGAGAGAGAGAGAGAGAGAGATAGAATAATTTAAATCTTTTTCAAAGTTTTAAAAAAACAAAAATTTACTTAATATAGAAATATTTTTACAAAATTTCGACAAATTAATTAATAATATAATCAATAATTCAAAATGAAATGAAATGTGAAGTTTTTGTTTCCGACGAAAAAAAAACAAAAAAAAAAAAAAATGGGGAGAGGGAAGGGGAGCTGAGAATTTATTTATTTAAAAAAAAAAAAAAAAAAGTGGCCCCAGATACGACAAAAAAAAAAAAAAAAATTAATTGAAATGAAATCATATTTCGACATTCGTCGTGGCCACGTTAAATAAAAATATGGAGTAACTTTTGAGCGCAAACTCATTATCATTATCATCATCATTATTATTATTATTATTTTTTGCCCCTTTTCGACCGGTAAAAATGGCCCTCGTACGAAAAATATGAATAATATTTAATATTTTTTAGCATTTGCGCGATACGAATTCGGTAAATATAAAATACGTGTACGACGGGTAATTAAATAACACAGAGTACATGGTAATTGCATTACCAAAGTGAAAAACAAAAAAAAATTAAATGATATTATTATTATTATTATTATTATTATTATTATTATTAATATTTTTTCGGTGAAAACCCGATGACATTTAAATAAAAATAATATATATATATATATATATATATATATTTGGCAACAGGTGGAAATGGAACGAACGATGATGAGCCTTAGGGATGAGAGAGAGAGAGAATATGAAAACCTAAGACCGGACGAAAAGATATTTTGGGGGGGGGGGGGAGGAAGTCCCCTATTAAAAAGATAGTTTAATTGCAAAATGAACAATAATAAAAGAAAACAGAGAGAAGAGAGAGAGAAAATCGATCTACGGTAGAGATAGTGAATAAGATGTCACTTCAATGGTTACTATGACAACATGTGGATGTTGGAAAACTGTGGAGAAAAATAAAAAAATTTGTTTTTTTACCCCCCCTCCCCTCCCTCGTGCTTTTTTTTTTTTGTTTCGATTAAAAAAAAAGGTTTACCCCATAAACATAATTTTATTATTATTATTATTATTTTTTAATTGATAAAATTATTAATTGACCCTCATGAGTACAAAAAATTAGTGCCTCAAAAATATTTACTATAAATTGAATGCTTGTGTTTCTTTCCCCGCCCCCCAATTTAATAATTTAAAATAGAAAAAGTGAAAATTATAAAAACAATGCTAAAAAAAATTTTTTTTTTTCTGTTTCTAGAAGGAAAAAAATAAAAAATCTGCATTTCTTTCTTTTTTCTTTTTTTTCGTTATTTTTATTCTCCATCAAGAGAAATTTCGTGTCAGGAAATAAATGCAATAAAAAAAAAAATAATAATAATAATAAAAGACCCTTTCCGGATTTTTTTTTTTTTTAAATTTTCAATAACTCTTTCTCTCTTTCTCTCTCTTTCCCCCTCTCTTCCCTCTCTCTTCCCTCTCTCTCTCTCTCTCTCTTTTCTTCTCTTTCTCTCTCTTTCTCTCTCTCTCTCTTTTCCTCTCTTTCTCTCTCTCTCTCTCTCTCTCTCTCTCTCATCCTGTTTGCATTAAAGTTTTTTTCCCTACAAACAACCCGAAAAAATAAATTCCAGTCAACTCGTGAGAAAATCATTCATTCAAAATATATATATGGAAAAAAAAAATTTCCCGTCCATAAAAATCATTTTGAAAAAAAAACAACAAACAAACAAATTCCAACGTTGCCATTTTTTTTTTTTTTTTTTTTTTTATAATTACTGCCACGTTTTTTTTTGTTTTTGTTTCACGGTCGTTAAAAATCATTAATAAAAAGAAAATTTTTGTTTTATTATACATTTGTTCAGAATTTTCTTTCGAAAAGAAAAACCAATGGCGATGATAATAATAATAATGATAATAATAATAATATTTAAAATAATAAAAACAATTCGTTATGGGAAATAAATAAATTTCTTATAAAAAAAAAAAAAAAAGAAAACCGTTACGAAACCCCTCAAAATTAAAATTTCCGTTGTCGTTTATCAAAAACTCCTTATTATTATTATTATTATTATTATTATGTTATTATTAATATCATTATTATTATATCGAAAAATTAAATAAAATAAAAAATAAATAGTTATTCAATGGTTTTTTGCATTAAATAACATTTTCCCAATGTTCGACATAAAGCTTTCCCTGGAATATCACGTGCGGCGACACGACGCGCGATTCTTATCGATTATTACGAATTTTCGTTAAAAAGAAAATTTTATTCCTTTTCCCGTTTTTCTTTTCTTTTTTTTAATAAATTATCCAAAATGAGAAAATGTTTCACACGTTTTTATTTTTTTATTTTTTTCCTTTCTTGGATTTCGTAAAAAAAAAAAAAAAAAAAAAAAAAAAACCGAAAGAAAGAAAAATAATTTTGTTTCCATGTGTGAATTCACCTAAATATTTAATTTATTTTTGATTTGTTACTTCTTTTATTATTATGTTTTCGATTTATTATTATTATTATTATTATTATTATTATTATTATTATTATTATTATTATTATTATTATTATTATAACGATCGTTAGATTAACACGAGCTAACATTTCCCCCCCCCCAAAAAAAAAATATATATATATGTGTATTTATTAATCGTTGTTTATTTACCATACGAATCCAATTAATAATAGACTTAACGGAAATGGTTATTTAAATTATTGCGACATTTAAATAATTAATAATAATAATGATAATGATGACGATTAAGTTATTTCTCGGATTTTAAAGATTAAAAATTCCCCCCCCCCGAAGTAAAAGCTCCTCCGGTTACAGAGGGTGTTTTTTTTTAAAAATGATTTAAGAGGTTTAACACCTTTTTTTCTAACACGATTTGAAATCTCTCCACTTTTTTTTTTTATTAAATTAGAGCTTTATGTATCCACATACCTAAATATCGTACCTTTTTCATATGTTTTTATGTTTACCGATTCTCGATTACGTCATCACGATATTTAATTAATAATTAAACAATTAAAAGGTGATTAAAAAGGAAAAAAAAAGAAAGGTACTTACCAAACAATCGTTACAAGAAAATCTAACCGAGTATGGTTGACCGCAGTCGTATCGGCTTAATATCTCCGAAAACTCGCAGGTTATGCGAGCCGCCATGTTGTCTACGTCGACTAGGTTGTCGATTATTCTAAAGCATTCGTCTTTACCCTTGAGTACTCTTTCCAACAGTGACTGTGACAGAGACTCGATAATTTTATATTCGCAGCAGTGACGAAGACGTATCGTTCCGAGGAAGCTCTTTAACCACTCGATTCCATTACCCAAATTAAAATTACATATCGCGTTTTTACGAGCATCGTCTAGGTAAGCAAGGCACGAGGCGTTCGTTTTGGATTCGTTAGGTGGACATTCTTTGGGGCATAGCAACTCGACTTCGGGCGGGGACGACGTCCTGGTGGGGAATTGCGTGGCGCTGCACGATCCTTTAAGGTCCGTAGGGCCCCCCTGCTGTTGTTTAAGGTCGCAGGCCGACAGCCACGGATTAATGGTCTCGAGAGACGAAAGCATGACTCCCGGTATCAAGACGTGGAGCAACAGAAGGACTTTGATTTCAAACTTCCTCTTTTGTATTGTGTTCTTAGAACGAGAGGAAGTACCCGTGGTAAAGGCCAAGGGCATTGTCCGCGTGCAACTGCAGCTTTGCCAACTGCAGCCTCCAGCGGGCCAAGACACAACCTCACTTCAGATGCGGTGGTGCAGCCGAGGTGCGGGCACGGGCGGTGCATCGCTGCGAGCACACGTAGCACACTGCTAACCTGTAACAATAATAATAATAATAATATCCAATATTAATTACATGTAATACATCAACAAACAATCCAAATTAAAAAAATTTTCCATTCATTGTCACCATTTATTTGAGGAAAAAAAAACAAAAAAAAAAAAACAATTTTCTTTTTGTTGGAGTGTATGATTTGATATCAATTTACAGAAAATGAAAAAAAAAAAAAAAAAAGAAGAAGAAGAAGGAGAAAGAGAAGGAGAAATTTTGAAAGTGATATAAAAAAAAAGAAAATTGAAATAGGCGGAAATAATAGAAAACGACGATGAAAAATTGTCATTGTAAACTTTGATATATATATATATAAGGTTTACACGTGTATTACGCACGCGTAATTAAATTAAATTCACCAAATTTAATTTTCAGTTTAAGTATTTTTAAATTAAACGCATTTTATAATAATAATAATAGTAATAAAAATAACAATAATGATGATGATATCGATAAGAAAAGGAAACATCCATTTGGTGTGATATTATTGTTATTGTTATTGTCAAAAAAATTTTAACTATAATAAAAATAAAAACAGTTTTATTATTATTATTATTATTATTATTATTATTATTATTAACATTATTTATTAATAAGTTTTTCTATAAAAATTTATGACAATAAAACTTGAATTTTTAATAATTATTTAATTGATTGTAAAATAAAAAAAAAAAGGCTAAAATAATAATTATTTTTCTCATGCATACAAGTTTAGGTATATGATGATGATGATGATAATAATAAATCAATGGAATAGAAAGATTTTTATTTTCATTTAAAATAATAATAATTATTATTATTATTATTAAAAAGAAATTTTCTAGACGTCATTTTGTTCATGTGTAACCTGACATTGTTATTTTCATTGCCTAATTTTTTTTTGCATCAAAAGCACATTTTTTACAACAACACAATGTTGATAATAATTGTTGCAAAGACAAGCAGTAATATTAAAATAATAATAATAATAATGATGATGATGATGATGATGATAATTATAACGATGATGACGAGGTTGATGAAAAAAAAAAAAAACTTTTTTTTTTAAATTTATCTTATGGAGAGCCATTTGAAATATGACAAAGCATTTTAACTGACATAAGAGTAAAGAGGGAGAGAGAGAGAGAGGGGGGGGGGAAAGATAAAAAAAGAAAAAAAAAGAACAAATGGTGTGCGAACAATTAGAGGAAGAAGAAGAAGATTAAACACAAAAAGAGAAAAATTGATTACTATTAAAAAAAAAAAAAAAATGAAAAGTTCTTCAGAAAAAAAAAGTAAAATAAAATAAAATAAGAGAGAAAGAGATAGATAGATAGATAGATAGATAGATAGATAGAGAAAGAAAGAGAGAGAGAGAGAGAGAGAGAGAGAGAAAGAGAGAGAGAAACATTCATGTATGTATGGTTTTAGGAAAGAAAAGTTTTTTTCCTTCTTTCTTTACTCTTTTGTGTGTGTGTGTGTGTGTGTGTGTGTGAGAGAGAGAGAGAGAGAGATTGATCGGTAATAAAGGAAAAGTGAACTTTTATTAACGACAATAAAAATAAATAAATAAAAGAGTAATAAATTTAAAAAAAATTAAATGCAAATTATTTACCTGTCCCAGACTCGTCTTGACAGATAGAACCAGAGTTTTATGTACCTGGCTCCAGATGGGTTCTCGGACGGTTCGGTCCTGGAACCTGATTTTATTAAATTAATCACTACAACAAACACTTTGACATAAACACTTAACACATCCACTTTTGTTAATATCCCTATTTTATCACCTTTATTCACATTAAATAAATAATCATTTAATTTTTTGGTTGTGATCATTCAGAGAATGTGTCTTTTGTCTTGTCTTTGACCGATGCTACTACCCTCCCTCCCTCTTATTAAGAGAAATAATAATAATAATAATAATTTATTAAACAATTAATCAAATAAAGGCAGCAGGGTTTTTCTAAGGGTTTCATTCACCCTCATTAAGAGATTTATTTTCTTTTTAACCACCGCCACAGCATCCACCACCGTCACAACTCACTCAAACCTTCACAAAACCACGTTTATTTTTTAATGTTATGAGAATACCTGTCAATTATATTCACACACTCTAACAAACAACAACACCACTTTTTGTTTTTACTTTTAATAATTATATCAAAAAGTAAATGGGGAAAACAAAACAAAAATAAAAGAAAAAACAAAATGGACAATGTTTTTTTTATTCATAATAAATATGTGTGACAAATGATATTGTTTATCACTATCTAAGATAACCGACACCATTAATCTTTTCATTTATATAATTATTACCCCACCGACATGAACCCCACTACCACACTTTTTCATTATTTAAATAAATAAATAAATTTTATTAATATTAATTTTCAAAAAAAAAACAAATTGCTATAGTTAAATAATAATTGTAAATCTCTGATAAATGATGAAGATGATGGTGATGATGATGATGATGATGATGATACATTAACACCAAATATATAAAATTTTAAATAGTAAAAAAAGGGAATGGAAGTGATAGCGGGAGCAGCACTAGTAGGACCAGCTAAAACATTAGGAGGAGCAGGAGCACCAGGACCAGGAACAGCACGAGCACCAGGACGACCAGTATTGGAAATAATAAATAAAATAAAAGGTAAAAAAATTAATATAAATGAAATGAAAATGTACAATAAATGTAATGTAAAATAAAATAATAATAACCAGGGATTGGTAGTAGTAGTAGTAGTAGTAGTAGTAGCAGTAGTAGTAGTAGTAGTTATATGAAATAAATCAATTTTCAGGGGTGGATACACTTTAGTAAAAAAAAACCAGGTTTTATCCATTTGGGGTAACAAATTTATAACGTTTTTTCAATAAATTAATATTAAACATATCTGCTGTAATCCAAATGTTCACCATTGCATCACTTTTACATAACTTTTACATAAATATTTATGTATTTTAATATAATATCACTAAATATATATATTTGCGTGTTAATAATAGTCACTTTTCACTACTTTTTTTTTATTAAAAAATTATGTATTTGTTTGAAAAAAAAGAAAAAAGAAAAAAAACAATAGCGTGCAAAAAAAGAAAAAAACAAAATGGCCGATTATTTTTTTTTTTTTTCGTTTTAATTGCAAAAACCGATATATCAAACTTAATAAATGCCACACATTTATCCGTTATAAAAAAAAGAACGCCATTTCAAAAAGATTTGAAATTTAAATGAAAAAAATAAAATAAAATAAAATGAAATGAAATAATAAAACAAACAAATTATTAATTATATGAAAACTAAACTGTCGTTTATATGAACTTTTTTTTTCCAACACCAAAAAACGATTTTTCAACCGGAAACTTTTTTTTAGTTTTATATATATATATATATTAAAAAATTACGTTTTCACTTATTTATAATAATAAAAAAAAGAAAACAATAAATAAATAAAAAAAATGAAAAACTATTTAAAAAACATTTTCACTTATTACTTAATTACTTATTTAGAAACATCGAAACTAAATTCTTTTTTCGTCGTGGTAACCGCCATCTTGGTGGCTTTTGGGGCTCGGCTTGTGCAGAGACTCCGGGCATGTCGAGAGGGGAGGTTGCCTTCCCCTCACTCCTCACTTCAACCTCACAAATGATCCTCCCGCCAGGACCAACTTTTCCCCCACCCAAAAACTTTGCTTGCGAAATCCGCCCTCGCTCAACGTTGTGAAATGAAAATATATTCAATAATAAAATCTATACTGGAATTTTACTTAAATTCTCCCATTATTATTATTATTATTATTTCAAATTATTATTTTCGAATTGAACCTAAAACTAAACCTCATTTAAAATATACAGAAATTTATCTGGCAATTGTTTTTTTACAATATTAATATTTACCTTGAAAAAATTTTCCATAGAGTAAAAAAACAAAAAAAAAATTAATAACGAAAGGAATGAAATAAATAGAATAAGAAAATAATTTATTCCGTCCATTTATAAATAAATAATTATTTTCCTTATTAATTAACGTTATAAGACTTTTCCCCACTTTTCATTTATTATAAAGATTATATTCCCGTTTTTTTTTTTTTTTTTTCTACTACCCCTACAAATTCCTTCTTACTTTTCCCTTCTTCCTCCCTTTCCCTTCCCTCCTCTTCCCACTCTTTTTATACCCCCCTCATCATAACTCTTTCTTTTCTTTCTTCTCACTCATTCCTGCCATCATCAGCCTTACTGGGAAAGAAGCAATTTTGACAATCTGACAACTTAATATTTCCCTGCGTTTTTAACAAATAACAATAATAATAATAATAATAATAATATGAAATTTCCCTCAAATTGAAAGAGAAAACAAATTTTTCCCTTTGTCAAAAAAAAAATTAATACTACTATCCATTCTACTATATTTAAAATACATAAAAAATTTGTTTTAAATGAATACTTCTTTTATTTTCATTTTTTCTTTTTTTTTTTTACTGTATTATTAATGTTAATTTTGACATTTATTAATTTTCTATAAATAATAATAATAATAATAATAATACAATATTAAAATAACCACGAAGAAAATAATAAAAAAAAAAAAAATTAACACACGATTATAAAAAACAATTTAATCAAGTTTTTTATTTTTAAAAAAGTATGAGAAAATTTAAATGGCATATTAAAGAAACGTTAAAGTCGTGCGAGCTTGATTTATGGACCAAACATTTAATTCTTCATATTCTTCCACGCAACGATTTATTTGATCGGGATGAAATCCTTTAGCAACACATCTCGATACAATATCCGCCATTTTAACACTTGATAAATCTTCATTTCTAAAATCTCTTATTATTTCATATATGTGATCTATAGGATTTGCAGGCCTGTAATTATAATTATTATTATTATTACCATTATTCGCCATTTTTTTTTTTTTTTTAAATTAAAATGAAATGAAAAATTGTCAGGCGATCATCGTACAAATTAATATTATAAATTAATTTGTTATAAAAAAAATTGATCTGCCTGTTAATTTTGCACTGTCGCTCTCTTGCTATTTCCATACATGGAAAAACAAACTTTCAAACAATGCATTTCAATTATTTTTTTTTTCCTTCTACTAGAGTACTCACTTGCTCAGCCCATCATCTACCGCCATTATGGATTGTTTTGACATTTCCATCAACCTAATCGCTTCTTGAACATCACCCTTGTCAACTTCGTTTGAATTCCTTAGTCTGGCCAATGCAGTCGACAATCTCAACACGGCTAAAAGATTTCTCGGAGATGTAAACGTTTGATCTTTGTCGTTTCTCGCTCGTTTTCTCATTTCTACATAATTTTCTAAAATACATTATTTAATTTGTAAAATAAATTTGCCCCCTACTGCGTTTAAAAAAAAAAAAAAAAATTCTCACGAGTCAACTTACGAACAATGTAATCACTGAGTGATTCTGGAATGGTCGGATTGAGCGTTTTGCATTTAGCAATATATTTTTTAAAAAAAAGAGGATCAACAGTATCGACTTTGGTTTTGGGTTGTGAATTGTGACGGTGAACGTATGTGATGTGTTGAGCAAGTCTAATAGAAAAAAAATTTTTTTTTTTTATCAGAAATTAAAGTATTTCAAATAATAAATGAAAATTTCGAAATACCTCAAATCATTATCTCTATCCGGTTGATCTCGAATCAACCATAAAAGATCAAAACGAGACAAAAGAGCTGCCGGAAGTTGAATGTTTTGTTCGACGGTTCGTTTTGGATTGTATCTTCCATAGGCCGGATTCGCAGCCGCAAGAATACTCACTCTAGCATTTAATGACGTAATGATACCCGCCTAAAAATAATACAGTAACTTTAAACCTAATAATATATATATATTGAAAATTTTAATTTTTGTAGGCATTCACCTTGGCTATAGAAATTGTTTGTTGTTCCATGACTTCGTGAATTGCGGTTCGATCATGCTCAGTCATTTTGTCAAATTCGTCGATGCAACAAATCCCTTCATCTGCTAATACCAGAGCACCTCCTTCAAGCATTAGCTCTCCCGTAATTGAATCTTTCATTACAGCCGCGGTCAAACCGACTCCAGAAGATCCTTTTCCCGTAGTATATTGACCTAAAACATTTTAAATTTTATTAATTGGAACGATACGTACTGCAATTTAAAAGGTAAAAAAAAAAAAAAAAAAAAAATTTACTTCTGACGGCAATTCTATCGATGTATGTTAAAAGTTGAGATTTTGCGACTCCGGGATCACCCATTAAACACATGTGCGTATTTCCACGAATTTTTAACCCTTCTGGCCGCCTGTCTACTCCTCCCACTAATAATAAAAGTAAAGCTTTTTTAACGTCTTCGTGACCGTAAATTTCCGGTGCCAAAGAGCTGGCCAATTTATTATACAAATTCCCCGATTGGATTTCTTGAATTTCACTTTCTGTGAAATCTGCATCTAAATTATCAACCGATTCTCCACCGCATGCTTTGTTTAAAACTTGCACAAACTAAATAAATTTAAAAGATAAAAAATTAATTATTAAATAAAATTGACAAAAGTTACTTACTAAATGTAATCTGAAACTTTTTCACTAACCTGAGCATCTATGAAGTGTTCGGAAACCAAACCCTGTATTAATTGACTGAATCCCTGACGAAGAAGAGGCAAAAAGATTCCAGTTATGGCAACATGATCTCCAGGAAGGACCAAGCGAGTATTTTCACCTCTGCAAAAGACGCTAATAGATCTTGGAATGTGTCCTACAGGTACAACATCACTCTAAAAAAAAATTTATTAAAATTTTCACATGTTTGCATAACTGATAATTGCTAAGATAATGCCAGAAAGATAAATACAAAACATAAAGTATCATTAAAATTTTGTCGATTTCTTTCTTCGAATTAAATATCATTTTGCCTTTGGGGGGAAGGGGGGGGGGAAGAAAAAAAGTAGATATATTGTTGAAGTGAAATAATTCTGTACTTACAGGTTCTTGAACACAAATTTCTTGAAATTTAATAAATTTTGATCCCCTAGTTTGCAAATGAAGTCTACCCCCAGATTTATTAATTCTACAATCATCAGAAGGACAGGTAGCTATTGGCATAAATGTTAACGAATTTACCTATGTAAAAAAAAATAAATAAATATGAAAGCATTTTTAAATTAAAATAAAACACAAAACTGTTTCAAAATTTAAACTTACTGGCTGGTAAGTTTCAGCTCCACAAACATCACAAGTATAAGTCGCAACACAAACTAATGGTTTAACTTCTGAACACCTAAAATATAAGTTATAAGTGAAAAAAACTTAATAAATCAAAAGTTTTCCATTTAAAAATAAAAAATTAAGAGAAAATGTTAAAATTTTACCTAGTAACAATCCCTCGAACAGTTATAAGAGATCCAACATGGCTAGCTTTTATCTGTCTTATAGGTAACGATTTCGAGGTGGATGAATTTTTTAAATATATTTCAAACCTTCTCATGAGTTCGGGAGGAAATTTATTATAAGGATTGTGAGATGTTGTAACACCTTCTTGCCCTTTCGTTTTTTCATCCATCATTAAACGATGTTCAATATACACATCTTAACAAAATAAATGAAAACAAAATTAAATAATCTAAAAAATTAAATTAATTGTAAAGTCAATTTTGCACTTTATACCTAAAGAATCCTTAGCTGGAACATCATGCATTTTGTATGATGGTAGCAATTCTTGGACTGTTTCATACAAAATGGAAATGTACCTTTTGGTATTTTTTAAAACCCTTTCGCATAATTCAGAATTATAACTTTCTATATCGTCTAACTCAATGTACATAGCAACCTGTTCTCTTTGTGCCAATTTAGTCATTTGTTGAACATATTTATAATTTTTTTGCTTATTTCCATCTAACTCCATAAACTCCGTCAAAAATGATTTAAAAGTTTCTGTAATATAAAAAAAAAAAAAACAATTATAATGACTCTTGTTCATGATATATGCAAGTAATGAATAAAAACTTGTATCTCTTTAGTATTGCAATTTTTATAAATTTTTTTCAAAAAATAACTGAAGATATTTATAAAATAACTAGAATTTAAAATTATTAATGTAAAATTAAAGCTCGAATTTAAGAAAAGAAACGAATAAAAATGAAAAGTTAGTATTAAAGGTTGCACGCCATGAGGTCACCATTTTAATTACGAAAAAAAACCGAAAAAATAAAGTTAGGATTAAAAAAAATAAAAATAAAAATAAATAATATCTTACTTTTATCTGTGTCATAAGTATTCGTCACTTTTTTCGACATTTTTTCCACCAAAACTTGTACAATATATTACTTAAAATATATGAACGCCTTCCCCTGTAGAAATCTTCATTCGCGCTCTTTCTCAGCATCGTGCCTCTAGACAAAAAATTATGTTAATATATTTTTACACAATGTAAAACCTGTCGAATTATTAAATTATAATAACATTATTATCAAAATTCTAATTAAAACTTTATTATAATTTCTTATTATTTCATTAACCTACAAATAACAAGCTAATAAGCCTAAGTGAATTAAATTATGGCAAAAATATTCGTGATAAAAAAATCTAATGAAATGAATTATTTAAGTGCAATAAATATAATATAATAAGTTTTTAATCATAGTATATTAAAAAATAAAATAAAATTTTTAATTTACCTTGATTAAAACAGATAGAAAATAATTTATTACAATAAATATACTTCGTGCTATCGCCGAAGAAACCTCACATGTTAATGAGAATAGAAATATTCACGTGGAAGATTACGTGGAAGTAGAAAGTGTGCTTCTAGAAATCTTACACTATTTAATGGTAAATGACGTCACTCGAAAAAAATTTAAATTTTCGCGGTTAATTTAAAAAAAGAAAAACTGGTTAAAATTTAGTATATCATTTAAAATATCTAACAATGATCATTTTAAAAAATTAAAATTTATTTTATTAAAAAAAAAAATTTAATGCATAAATGGTAATACAACTTCCTATATGATTTATTAATAAGTTTTTTTTTTTTTTTTGGCAAGGGATTATTCGTTTAATGAAATCCCTTTTTATTCAAATCACATAAATACGTTAATTTCGCACTATTTTGTCCCTAATAAATTTTTTTTTTTTTTGCAATAATATAAAAAAAAAATAGCCTTGCTAAAGATATTTATTTATAATATATTTTTATCTTAAACAATAACCTGGCACATGAATTTTTCTTCCTTGTTGTTTACAATTCTGTATGTTTTTTCAATAGTTTTGATATATTTCATTGTTTTACTGTTTTTATCTTTGCCAAATGCATTTAAAATTTTTATTTCCTTAATAAAAAAATTTTTTTTTTTTATGGCATATTAGGTACACTTACTTACATTAAATCTAAAATCAGAATTGTGACATTGAAATTATAATTTTTTGGCTGTTATAAAATTAACGGGATATTGAATAATAAACAATTAATATCTCATCTAATATTTAATAAATTTTTTCCCTGTATTTTAAAAATTGTTTAAAAAAAATGGATGCTTAGACATCAACACACACTCATTGTTTTAAAATAAATAAATTTAATATACAGCTGAAAGGGATTTTTTCATTCACAGAAAACATGGTTGTCTTTGATAGAATGTGTGTCTGTGTAAAAATGTTGTTGTTGTTGTTAATGTTTTTTATATTTTTTAGTTAGTAACGAATTGAATGAGTAATGTTATGTGACTAATGCTGTTTCATTTGAAAGGATTTATGTCTTTGAATCAATTACATAAAAAAATCAGGACCGAAAACTCTTCTTTTAAATCATTTTTAACTTAAATTAAATAAATACAAAAGATTTTCCCTGAGATTAAAGTAAATAAAAATCTAACATACAACTTAAAACATTAAAAAAATTTCATTTTCAAAGGGTAAAAAAAAAAAAAAAACTAAATGAATAAGTCTTCGTTGATGACCTAATTCCATAATTCACCCCCTTTCCTTTTGTGTATCATAAGGGGTTGGAAATTCCAGTAGATAACTTGAGGTCATTGGGTAATTGACTTCCCTTATATTAGTCATTCAAATTTTTGCATACTTTTTTTCCCACGTTGGTACGGAATGTATATTTCGTGCAAATCTACAAAAAAAAAAAAAAAATCAGTGACGAATACAGGAAAAAAAAAAAAAAATTTAATATGAAATATTTTATTTGATATATAAAAAAAAAATTTCATACATATATATATTTCCTTTCTTAGAAAAAAATTTTTTTTTTTTTTTTGTTTTGATTATTTTATCATAAATAATTCTGTATATCTCAAAAACTTTATTTAGCTTAAATTTTTTTTTTTTTTTTTTTTATTTCCGCAAATAATAATAATAATCGACTTTCTTAAATTTTGGTTTTTTTTTTTAAATTTCTTGTTGGAATTGGTCAACTAACTAACCCATTGCCTACATGACAATTCATCCATAACAAAGCGGAAGAAACAATTGGTCCTCCCACAAGTGGTTTTATGTCAGGCAATTTAGATTATAGTCATATAAGAAAATATAACCTCAGTACCACATAAAAATAATTACATGCATTACCAGTTGTAAATAACCTTAAAAACAATCAACCTCTTCCTGAAAAATAAGATTTGAGTTTAACTATTGGATAACTATTATTATTATTCACTCATAATAATTAATTATTGAGAAAAATTAAAATAATATTAATAACAACAACAACAAAAAATGAAAGAGTATTTTTTTAATTTGCTTATTTTGCAAATAATTTAAACTTGAAACTTAACTTGATTAAATTCATACCAACAGATCTTATTATAAAGATTTCTTTACAATTCTTAAAAAATTAATTTCTCTTGATTCATAGTTGTTGTTGTATCTCATAAAATAAACTATATGATTTATTATTATTATATAATTTTTTATAATTCTTAATACAAATTGTTTTCATGAATATAGTAAAAATAATGGGAACACAATTCAAGTATAAGGAAAAATGGCTACTGTTAGATTTGCCTACATATGTATACTGTTTGGCTCTGAAGTTTTGAGAGCTATTATATATATTTAGACCAATACAATCCATTCACTGACTATTCAATCCATTCATTGATTATTCATCTGTTATAGCATTGGTGAAACCTTGTTTATAACTGTTTAATGGCTAAGGGATGAATGAGGTATTTGTCCCTTTTTCCCAATTTAATGGAGAGATTGTGTTATTAGAATAAACAAAACCAAAACAATCAGATATAGGGAAGGAAATTAAATAAAACATACATAAATAAAGGTCTACATTATGTATAAATCCCTCAGAATTAATTGTGGAACACAATGAAAAAAAAAAAAAAAAAATTGGGTAAAATCGAAAATGAATTATTATTAAACATGAAAATAAAAATTTCAAACAAAATACATGTGTTATACTTTTAAATTCGAAATATTAAAGCGACTTAAATGTTAATAATAATTTAAAACATGATAATTATACTCTTATTTAAACAAAATATACTTAACGCTTCACATTAATGTGCCACGACGATATGACAATCCGCCATTTTGAAATTTCTTAATCAATACATAGCGCGGGAAAAATGATGATGATGGTGAAACCGTCAACGAACGAACGGGGAGAGGCTGAGAATGAGTCACGATATTTTAATTTACATCGTCGTCATAGAGAACAAATCAAGTCCAGTACGGTGCAAACTCGATTTGAGAAAACATACGAGTTTGAAAAAAGCGGGATTTAATTGAAAAAAAAAAAATTTTTTTTTTTTTACCGCGGTTCAATTCGTATTTTTTTACAAAACGGTTTTGAAAAGTATAGTTTTTATTTTTATTTTTTTAAAATCATTAAGTTTACAATTATATGTTTTATTTTTTGAGTTAAAAAAAGAAAAAAGAAAATGTGCTGTTCTTGTTCGTAATAATTTTTTTTGAAAACGTTCTATAAAAAAACCGTTACAAAAAATTTTCTACCAAAAAGGTTTTTATTTATATATTTTATTTTTTTCTTATTAATTAACCATTTTTTTTATGTAATTTAAGGAGCTTTAGATGGTAATTTATTAGTAATTGTTATTTTGTAACTTATTAATAAGTAAAAATGTGTTTTTTTTTTTTGAAAAATTTTTCACAACACAATTTTCAAAAGGGTTTCATAATATTTCAACCAATTTAAGTAATTTTTTTTTTAAATTAAATAATTATAATATATAATTTGTTTGTTATCAAATACCATTACTTGACAAAATATTATTTACAGTTAGTTATGATCAATGTTTGTGTTAACACAAATTAAAAAAAAATACTGAAAGATAATTTAATGTTTTTCGATTGTTAAAAAAAAATTACACCATAATTTTTTTTTTTTTTGAAACTTAAATAATTTTAAACGTGGGTGGATTATCATTATGAAAAGTCCTCAAACAATAAAAAGTTGCCAATCTCTCTCATTTTTTTAGATAAAAGACAAAAAACTGTAATGTTTCTAAGGTCATTATTCAATTTCCTCCATTTATATAAAATTGTTTTAATTTTTCTCTCTCTTTAACTCGAACCCATTTATAAAAATTAAATTTAAATCAATTCTTGTCGTCTTAACCTTTACTTATTGATTAAAATAAAAACAAAAATTTTACCTGAATAGTAAAATGTTTTGTTTTTATCAATAAGCATATTTTTTTTTTATTCGATTTAATTCCTTTCTTAATAAAATTGATTATTAAGTAAATTTTTTTATTGTTATTATTATTATGGGGTAAATTTATGGGTCACTAAACAACATCCGAGTCATTTCATGTGTAATTTATAATTAATTTATTTTATATATTCATAAAAATAACAGAAAGATTATATTAAAAAAAAAAAAACATTAAATTATCTATAACTTAATTCGAACATCATTATTATGTCAATTTTTTTTTTTTTTTTTTTTTGAAATAATTAATGAAAGCACAATTGAATTAATTATTTATTTATTCGATATTATTTTATGAATACTTCAAATAGTATTATTCGACAAGTATAAAAATATTTATACGATTAAACATAAAATGTGGAAAAATTTACTCGATAATTATTTTATTAACTTAAAAATGGAAAAATTTTAAAACTTGATCGATATAAATGTTGATAATTTTTTTTTCTTTCTTTTCTTTTAAAAAGTCAATCAATCAATCAATCAATCATTTTATTATTATTATTACTCTATGAAAGAAAAAAAAGAAAAGAAAAGTAAAAAATGAATTAAAAATTTTTTTATTATGGTTTTTTAGTGTTTTTTTCTTTCTTTCTTTCTTTCTTTAAACAAATAAAATCTTTTAGGGGCTTTAAAATTAGAACGACAAATAAAATATTTATTTTTCATTATTATATATCATTAATGATAAGGAAAATGTTGATAAGATAAACCAATTAGCAATTATTAAGCAAAAAAAAAAAAAAAATTTTTTCTTTTTAAAGTCATCTAAAGCTCCTATTTTAAATATATATAATAATAATAATATATAATAATATTATATTTATGTAAACAGAACAAATATTATTATTAGTTAATTATTTATAAGGAAAAAAAAAAAAATATGAACTTTACAATAGAAAAAATGAAATGTTATGAATTAAACAAAAGGCAAACAACAACAACAACAACAACCGCAACAACCACAACAACATTCGAGAGGAAGAACAAATCAATGGATTTATTTCTCCTTTTACGAATTTTATTTTTTTTTGGATTTTTACTATCGAATATCGATGTGACATTTGGACAAGTTAATAAAGCGATGGTGAGTTAAAAACAATTTTTTTTACAATAATAATAATAATAATAATAATAATAATGATAATAATTGAAATTTATTATTTAAAAAAATTAATGTCGTAATTAAATAATTAATTATCTGTAAAATATGATTTTATTACTACGATTAATTACGTAAAACGTTTTTTTTTTCTTTTTTTTTTTTTTTGTTTCGTGCAATTAATTTAAAGTTAAAATTATTATTATTATTATTATTATTATTATTATTATTATTATTATTATTAATTTAAATTTGTTACGCGACGACGTATGACGTAAATAAGAATTGTTTGTTTGTTTGTTTGTTGGACAAAAATGAACGATTTAAACTTTTTTTTTTTTTTTTTTTTTTTTTTTATTATCCCATTGATCCTAACCTTGTCAAGATAAAATCAAAGTTGGATTTTCACACAGAATCAAATTATTATTATTATTATTAAAATGTCTGCAGTCACGTTTAGCCTGGCTATCTTAAACATTTTACTTGTCACCGTAATGGATATTCTATAACGTCACGCTTTAATAAAACCTTTTAATTCTTTATAAAAAAAAAAAAAATTATTTGCTTCATTTTTATTATTATTATTATTATTATTATTATTATTATTATTATTATTAGCACAAAGTAAATAAAAAAACCTTGAGCTATATATATATATATATATATATTTCTGTTGATATATATATATATAAGCTTTAACATGCAAGGTGTGATTGACACCGTCATTATTATTATTATTATTATTATTATTATTATTAGTGAATGAACGTTGTACACTAAAATTCTGCTTTCACATTTATTTTAACAACAACAACAACAAATTCTGATGAAATCGTTTGTTAACGAATTAAAAAATGTAATTTGTCATTATTATTGTTATTGCTTAAAAAATTATAAAAAAGTCATAAATCAAAACAAAAAAAAAAGAGAGAGAGAGAAAATTGTTGTTGATATTAATTATTAATATTTAAATCACAAACAAACAAACAAACAAAAAATAATAATGATGTATCACGTGTTATTAAAGTCGTTATAATAATAATAATAATAATTTATTCCAGTCAGATTTTACTAATTCATAATTATTCAACTGATTTTTTTTTGTTTTAATGTTAAAAAAACAAAGAAATATTTTAATTAATCTACTCTAATTCATATAATTAAATTCTACCCAGGGGGAGGGGAGGGGTGCCATTTATTTGACTCATCATCATCCTGCACGATAAAAAATTTGACTAATGCAATTTGTACCAAAAAGGGGAGAGAGAGGCGGGGGGGGGGGAAATAATGAATGAATACAAAATTCAGAGAAAAAATTCTTTTTTAAGAAAAAAACAAGTTTTTATCATCATTATTATTATTATTATTTTTATGTTTATGTTTATTTCCAGACGGTGAACGAAACCGATTCCCCAAACATACAAACTAATACTTTTGGCAAACGTTTTGTTGTTGTTGTTGTTTTTTTTAATATTAATTTATTACTTGCAAAAAAAAAAAAAAAAAATGTTTCATTACAAGTTGGCGGCCTTCATTAAAAACGTAAAATGAAGTTTTTTTTTTCCTCTTAAAACAATATCAAAAGTTTTTTCTTAGAGATTTAAATAAAGCGGAGCCATCAGAATGTAATTAAGTAAATTTTTTTACGTCCTCCATTGTAAAATCCTTCCTCGATTAGGGTAATTAGAGTCGAAATTATTGTCGTTTTAATTATAAATATACAAAACTCTAGTTCAAGGTCAAGGTTTTTTCACTTAAACTATCCTGTGATCGCCACCGACACCCCCCACGACCACCCCCTACCACCTATATCTTTGTGCGATTAATTTGAATCCCTTAAAAATTTTCTTTTATCGATACCGGAAACGGAATGGCAGTATCATATTTTTGGCAAACTCAAAATTTTTTATTATTATTTAAAATAAAAAAAAAAAAAAAAAACCTTGAAAATTTTCTAAAGGTATTATTGTTGTTGTTGGCATGCAGCCGAAAAATCATCCATTCTCAACATCAAGTTTCCCCTCCCCCTCCCTTCCCCCAAGAGATAGATTCCTCCAAACGAGCCTTTATTATTATTATTATTATTATTTTATTTATTATTTACTTGCAGATTTATTTATCTAAATATGGTTACTTACCACCATCGGCGAGTAATCCATCCTCTGGAAATCTCATTTCCGAAGAAACATTTTCCGAGGCCATTGCCGAACTTCAAAGTTTTGCAGGCTTGAACGTAACCGGTAGGTACATACCTTTAAAAAAAATTATAAAAATTTCGTTTGTGACGTTTTGCAAGTTTTAGTTGGTAAAAATTTTTAATGACGTGAATCATTTTCATTGTAATTATAAAAAAAAAAAAAAAAAAAAAAAACTTGATTTATTTAAGTTAGTATCTAACGAGCGAATTAAATTTTTTTCTCTCTCGAATGAATGAATGAATGAATAAAATATTCTTCGTAATCAATCAATCATTCAATCGATCATTCTTAATCTCATATTTAAAAATAAAAAAGTTATAAAACTAAAAAAAAAAATTTTTAATTTATCTTTTTTTTTTTTTTTTGTATGAAGCTTAACACATTTCCTGCGATTCAAGGTTTTTTATAAAATCGAAGGTCCTTCAACCTACCGATTGCACATTATTTACATATATATATATATATATATATAACACTCAGATAATTTACAGTAAATAAGATAATTTAAAAAAAAAAAAAAATTATTTGTCATTTTTTTTTTTTTTTTAGGGAAATTAGATGCGGATACTTTGGAACTTATGGAAACGCCCAGATGCGGTGTAAAAGACAAAGTCGGAGGTGTTACATCAAATTCCAGGAGTAAAAGATACGCATTACAAGGTACATATATAAACAGGTTCAGCCCCCCCCCCTTTTTTTTGTTTTTATTTTAAATTACATTCTTGGGAAGGGAAAAAAAAACAAAAAAATATGCTTACCTGGTGTTCGACTATAAGAAATAAGAGGTTTCAATAAACAATTTCTTCTTTGTTATGGTATTATTATAATCAGGAAACCATAAAGAGGCGGGGAGAGACGAAGGGGGAGGAGTCATCGGGCGGGTGGCTTTCTATGACAACCGTAGAACATCCTGCTCAACTCTCTCTCTCTCTCAATATAGAATTATAATGCTTCCGCCGCAGATACCTGAAATTAGTTATTTATATTCTGTTATTTTTACGGTTGAACAATTCTCAATTTATATTTATTTACTAGATTTGTGTTTACTGCCAAAAAAAAAAAAAAAAATTTTTTTATTTACAAATCCAACTATTCTAACGTGAATGTGAAAAATTCATTTGTATTAATTTACTTAAACTCGAAAATTTTCTACGAGGGAAGGGGGTGGAAGGGGAAAGAAAAATATTATTTTTCACGTAACTTATTACGTAACGTATTGTACGTCCTTTAATTCTATCGATTTAATTTTTTTCCCGAACATTGAAGGGGGGGGGGTCATCGTTTCTTTCCCATTTTTTTTTTTTTTAAACCGTTAAAATTTCCATTTTAAAATGAATATTCATCAATAATAATAATAATAATAATACATGAGATAGTTAACTTAACACGGTGAATGATAAGGTATTAATTATTATTAACGCTTACCTCCTCCATTGAATGGTAAATGATTCATTTAGGCTGGAGTTTATTTTAATTCTTGGAATGATCATTTTCTAAATATTCTAATTGTTTTTCGTTAGGAAATTTTCAACCGTTTCGCGAATGATGAGACCCTCTCTACGACTGACCTTCACTCCTTTTCAAAACCTTCATTTACATTTCCATCTTTTTTAAATATTATTATTATTATTATTTTTGTTTCGTTAATAACAGGAAGCAGATGGAAAGTACATAATTTGACTTATAAAATTTCAAAATATCCGAGAGCTTTGAAAAAAAGCGAAGTTGATTCCGTTGTGGAAAGAGCATTTAAAGTTTGGAGTGATTACACGGATTTGACTTTCACGTTGAAAAAATCCGGATCTGTAAGCAATTTTTTTTATATTTTAAATTTAAATTTAAATTTAAATTTAAAAAAAAGGAAAAAATGAAAATTAAATTGAAATTTTTTTTTTTTTCTTTACCAGGTTCATATAGATGTTAGATTTGAAAGAGGAGAACACGGAGATGGAGATCCTTTCGATGGACGAGGAGGAACTCTGGCTCATGCCTATTTTCCAATATACGGAGGCGATGCACATTTCGACGATGACGAAAGATGGACGGTCAAGTCGTACAGTGGTGAGTTACGGTTTTCAAACTGAAAATAATATACGAATCGTTAATTTCGATAATTAAAAAAAAAAAAATTTTTTTCCCCTTCAGGTACGAATTTATTTCAAGTTGCCGCTCACGAATTTGGACATTCTCTCGGACTCTCACATTCCGATATAAGAAGTGCACTTATGGCTCCCTATTACAGGGGTTATCAACCGTATTTCGAATTGGACAGCGATGATATCAGAGGGATTCAGGTATTTACCACGTTTTGAAAACAATTTTTTTTTTACTAAAAGGCGGTAAAATAAAAATTTTTTATTTATGATGTTTAGATTTTATATGGGAAAAAATCCGGGAATAAAGGAACCACGGAATCTCCCAATTCGATTTACGACGATGACGAATTATGTTCCCTATCATCCGTGGATACAATTTTCATAGATGCTAAAGAGAACACATACGTTTTTAAGGGTGATAAATATTGGAGATTGACGGATGACGGCATGGCACCAGGTTATCCGAAAACTATATCCAAATCATGGCCTGGATTACCATCGAACATAGATGCTGCTTTCACGTATAAAAATGGGAAAACGTATTTTTTCAAGGTTGGATGTCCTGAAAATATATAGAAATGAAAATATGGAAACCGAAAAAAAAAAAATAACCGTTAAATTAATTACATTTACAGGGTGATAAATATTGGAGGTTCAATGGTAAAAAAATAGACGGAGATTATCCGAAATATATATCGGAAGGTTTTGCTGGAATTCCAAACAACGTCGACGCGGCATTGGTTTGGAGCGGAAATGGAAAAATTTATTTTTTCAAAGGTAATAAGATAAAAACCCTTTGAATTCCAGAAAAAAAAAATGTTTTCTAACACCTGATTTTTTTAAAAAAAAAGGTTCACAGTTTTGGAAATTCGATCCTTCGGCAAAACCTCCCGTAGGAAGTAAATTCCCGAAACCTATTTCCTACTGGGAAGGTATCCCGGATAATTTAGATGCCGCTTTACAATACACGAACGGATATACTTATTTTTTTAAAAAAGATGGCTACTGGAGATTTAACGACAGAGGATTTAAGGTTAGTTAATATCAATTTTTAAACGATGATAATGAATTAAGGTTCGAAATGATTGATTGATTGATTTTTCCTATATAGGTCGACACTGATCAAATACCATTTCCGAGATCTCTTAAACACTGGTGGTTGGGATGTAAAAAAGCAACGAGAGGAACATTAGGTAATTTGGCACATTATAAATTACAAGAGAACAGTTCATTAAGTCAAATTCAAGAAGAAGAAGATGAGAATAGAGAAAAAGTAGACGATGTCATCATCGACAATGGTAAGTTTTCTTTTCATTATTATTTTCCAAAAACTTTTAAAACTCGCCATTTTTAATTAATCTTTAAAGATAAAAAAAAAAAAAAAAAAAAAAAAATTCTTATTTTAAAACTGTCTGCTTGTATAACATTTTTTTTATAATAAGAAAACTTTTTAAATTTCTGTTACTTTATAAACGATTAATAATATATGTACATAAATATAACATACACAATTCATCCACACATCATATATATATATATAAATGAAAACAAAAAACTATTCGATTGTTAGAAAGCGGTGGAAGGAGGGGAGGAGGGGAGGGGAAAAGACACACAGCATTAAAAAAAGAACAAGTGGAATTTTGGTTGTTTTCACATTTGAATTTTTCTTTTCTTTTTTTTCTTTAAAGGTCACACAAGAAAAAGAAGAAAATTAATGACAGAGAGGAAAAATAAAACACAAACAAGAAAACTATGTATATCTCTCACTCTCTCTATCTCTCTTCTTGAAAACAAAACTTTATTGAACTGTTCTCGATTATTACTTTTAACTATTTGTTTGTTGTTGTTTGTTTGTTTGCACTGTCGTTTGTTTTATATATATATATTTTTTTAATACTTATTTGCTTGTGTTTTGCTTTGAAAACAATGGGGGAAGGGAGGGGGGTTGGAAAAACAACTAAAATACATTGAATGACAAATGCATTGAATCGAAAGCACACAGACAATTACATAGATTATATGGTTGTTATGATGACAACAACCACAACCACCACAACCACCATCACCACCATGTTATCGTTATCACAATATAACAAATTTTTTTTTTTTAACATTTAATATTTTCTATTAACATGAAAGTAAAATATGGTAGTAAAGGTGTTGGAAAAATAATCGATACTAACCAAATCAGATTAATATTAATAAAAACAATTGAAATGTATATAAAATTAATTCGACAAATCAAAATGAAATGTTTTGCCCATGCTGCAAGAACGAGTATTGTTGCACTTAAACCAGACATAAATGAATTTAAAGATTCTTATATAAACTAACTATTGTTTTAAACATTATTGTTTAACAAAAAAACATGAACACACACACAATCAGTTTGTTGTTTTTTGCACACATAATCAGAGCACTTGCACGCACTTTTTTTTTTTTTTTTTTTTTTTATTACTTCTAAATTTTATGTGTATATATTTACTGCACAAGTAATTACTAGTGATTTTAAAGATATTTTTGTATTTATCACGAATTGAAAACCAAAACCGAAAAAAAAAAACGAAACGTTGAAATTATAGGTACGAAGAAATCAACTTACCTAACACAACCACGTTGGAATTTTTTAAATTCCTGGTAAGTCATATCCCATTTAAAACAATCCGCCATCTAAAAAACAAATAATGTATATATACATGTATATTAAATATCATAAAAAATGATAAAATTGTGCCCATGTTTAAAAAAAAAAAAAAAAAAAAAACTTACATTTATTTTTCTATCATTATTATTTTTGATTATTGGTATTTCTACAGGTGAATTTGAAGATTCGGATGATTTTCGATGACGATCATAATTATATGTTATTCATCTTAAAAAAAAAAAACGTTTTTTTTTTTTAAACATTCTGAAGAAGTAAAGACTAGTTTACAAAATAATAATAATAAAATATTAAAAATAATTTAAATTTAAAACAAAAAAAATTGGAATCTGTTAATCTAATCGTCTTCTCATCGAAAAAAACGCGCATCATCAAAAACCGTTACGATCTAGTTACACTTCAGTTTTTTTTTTCTTTGTCGCCAACTTAACAATTTTAAATTTCAATTTTAAATTAAAAAAAAAAAAAAAAACCAAAGAGTTTTATAAAAGTAATTAATTATTGTTTTAAAATACGTTGTAGTATTAAATTTATAAAAATAATTATATTATTATTATTATTATTATTAAACGTGTGTGTAAAAATATTATTGAAAAAAATTTATTACATTCGTTTAACGGAAAAATTTAGTTAGTTTAATGTCAAAACAACACAACTCACACACGAGCGTAATACGAAATAAGCAAGATGGCGCACACACAATTTTTTTAAAAGTTTTTTTTTTTTTTATATAAATGTTAATAATAAAAGCAAAATATTATTATTATTATTATTATTATAATTTTGTAAGTGTGCAATTATAAAAAAAAATTTTTTTTTACATTTTTACATTTTTGTTTACTTAATGAAAATTATTTTGTTTTGTTCTCATCAGTTTCTCACAAACATTATTAATAGTTCCTAATATTTTGCTTTATTTAAATTACCAAAGTTAATAAATAAATAATTGATTGTTACTTAATTAATTAGTTTTTCTGCTGAAAAATTTAAAAATGCTAAAGATTATTTAAAAAAAAAAAAAAAATTTTTTATAAATATATAAACATATCAATTAGATGCTTAAAGTTTTCATTTTGTTTGTTTGTTAATAAACATATGTGAAATCATTTTTTTAAATAGTTTTTTGGTGTTTGTCCCTTTTAATGATAAATTAAGCATAGGTTGTTGTTGTTGTTGTTTTGTGAAGTATTAGTAGTGTTGATTAAATGTGAAATAATATTAAATTATAATTAATAAAATTAATT